GTACATTCCCTTCAGCGCCGGACCCAGGAACTGCATCGGTTAGTCTTATGAGCAAAGACATACATAATTTTATTTTAAATGTATTACGTTCTTGTTAGATTATGCATCTCTTACACATTGACTCACGTGTTTATTTCTACAGTCTGCGTTATTAAGATATTGTCTCATCAACTACAAAATGCCAACGTAAGTGTGTACAACATATTGTATAAAACAAACACACGCAACGCGAAGCCTTCTGTTTGCAGGCCAGAAGTTCGCCCAGATGGAGGAGAAGGTCGTCCTCAGCAGTATCCTCCGCAAGTTCCGCGTCGAGAGCACTGTCCCTCAAGAGTCCCTGAAGAAGATGGACCACTTTGTCCTGCGGCCAAAGGGAGGGAATATCCTGAGGCTCTTCCCGAGATCGTGACGACAAACACGCAAAAACGAGCAAGCAAGCCTGGGTATCGACTGGTGGGATCAGCGTCCAGTGATTGGGGATCTTGCTTGAATGGAAGGAAATACACTCATGGAATGTGGATATGCTCTGCGTGTCTTTTTCCTTATTTACGTCTATTCTTGAACTCCAGCATACCATACTGAAAATCTGATTAGTTTTATGAAATTATTTCTGGGTATCAATCACAATTACATACTTAAGTATACACAAACATGCATTGATTTGACTGATATGTGATACTAATGGGTGAATCAACTACGAGGATGAGAAGTGACTCTCACGGCCATATAACCTCTTAAATGGACCAATATTTTCGGTAATGCAGTCGCTCAAGAAAAGAAAAGAAAAGAAAAAATATATGCACTCACAGATACATATACAACATATATACATACATACATGAATAGAAACACACAGACACACAGACACACACACACACACATACACACACACACACACACACACACATATATATATATATATATATATATATATATATATATATATATATATATATATATATGTGTGTAATATATATATACATATATATACACACAAATATATATATATATATATATATATATATATATATATATATATATATATATATATATATGTATATATATGTATATATGTATATATGCATGTATATATACATACATATATATATGTATACACACACACACACACACACACACACACACACACACCACCCATATATATATCTATATCTACTATATAATATATATAATATATATATTTGTGTGTGTGTGTTTGTGTTGTGTGTGTAGTGTGTTGTGTGTGTGCTGCGTGTGCGTGTGCGTGTGGGGTCGTGGTGGGTGTGTGTGTGTGTGTGTGGGTGTGTGTGCCTGTGCATTCGAGTGTATATGTATATGCTATCATTATATATCACTGATATATATATAGATATAGTCATGTATTTTATACATATATATATATATAATATATATATATATATATATAATTATATATATATATATATATACTATAGATAGATAGATAGCTAGATAGACAGATATAGATAGATAGATAGATGAAAATACATACAGACATACATCTGTATATATATATATATATATATATATATATATATATATATATATATATATATATATATATATATATATAAAGTATGTAAAGGGTTTCTGGTGTGTATAGTGATGGTTTCACTACACCTATTGAGCATAAATGCGTGTATGAGTGAGAGTGTCCCTCTGGTTCGCCTCCACCGTTCGGATGGAAGCTTTGACTCCACCAAAGCCCCATGTCAATCATCGTCGGTGGTTGCCATTCTGGGATTTGCCACTCTGCCTCGAGCTCCACACCTGAACACACTGTAAGTTTGTTTACTTTTCATCTTCTATTTCTTGTTAATATTAAACAATTGGAGAATTGTGTGATATGAAATTGATACGGTAAAGTGAAGTGATGTGAGAAAAAAATCGTGTCAACCCGGCCCTTCGGGACGAATATTCCGTCCGAATCTTTTATTCATTATCTATTTTCTTGTGCAAAGAAGACACATGACCAGAACCTATTTCCTAGGGGCGTGTCCCTGGGGTGCAGGGCGAAATAAGCTTCCTCGCGGGAAGGGCCTCTCATACCTCTTTCGGGCCTGGGCTGCCATCCGACCGCTTCAACATACCGCGGTTCATCCATACGGTTCATGATTTAAGCCGGTTAAATCCCAGGTATTAAGTGTGTTAAGTCTTGTTGTGGATTAACAATAAATCTGACCAAAAATTAAAATATGCGACCACTGAGCAAAAGGCCATTCGACTTGTGACCTATACATACCGTATAGTCTTGCATACTAAGTGCTATGCATGTTATTTAGACAATGCCTTACCACTAACAGAATATTGAAAAGAAATAATAGTTTAGTTTGATCTTTACAATTTTGTGTTATGTATTCACTGTAGCAAAGTATTTAGAAATAAAGATTAGTAATCATCTTAAAAACGGTGAGAATACATACATTTTAAGACTGATGATATATACATTATCACAACGTATTGTTAAAGGGGAGTAAAACCAGTCTTTGCAGGAAAGTGTAATTTCTTTTATTTTTACAATTGCTGAGAATTAAATATTTATTAGATAATGTAATTCGTGCTAGATGTCTGTACAGAAAATCTAGTCTCAATATACTTTAAGTAAGGAAGAAGGTACACATCCTGAACATATATATTGACATTTAGTCTCACTTTTCCTATATATTTTAAAGAAAACTAAATATTACAAAGCCTTATCTACCAAACTCTATTTCCTGGGATGAAGCTTTAGGGGATTTCCCTCCTTGGGACGCAGGATGAGTTCCCCGAGGACCTTCATGTCCTTCCACGGAATGTCACTCTCCACGCGGAAGTTCCTCAGGATGGAACTCAGGACGACCTTCATCTCTAACTGCGCGAATTTCTGGCCTGCGAAGAGGATGAGGTAGGGGTTATCCCTTTTATGAAGAGAATCATTGAGTAATGTTGTGTCGTGTCCGTTGTGTCATTGTTTTGTTCGTCTCCTTCTTACTGGCTGGTAAAGAAGTCTAGGTACTGGATCCTGTAGCCCTGGATCTTTTGAAGCTTTTGCGTATCTAAAGTTTCTGCCCCCGTGTGCTCCCCACCCGCTGATCACGGACATATAAAACTCTCACTCAATCACTTGTGGCAGATGCACCATACATCATAGAGAGTTATATTTAGATACAAGTTTCTATTGTTTAGACAATTCCTGGATCTTACTGACTTATAGACACAATTTCTTTATTTGACTCATCAATACTGGGTGCTATTGAATTATGGATACTGTTCCTGGGTCAATATGACTCACTGCTACAGTTCTCGGCCCTACAAACTCACCAGTAAAGTCTCTGGATCCCATAGACCTACTGATAAAGTTCCTGGATCCTATTGACTCACTGATACAATGCCTGGCCTCTCATTAAGCCCTGGATGCCACTGACATCCTTTATAGTCCCTGTATCCAGTTGTCTCACCGCATCCCCAACTCACTATCAGAGTTCCTGGACCTCACTGAATTACAGATTCCTGTATCCTACTTACTCGGTGAGAGTTCCTGCGTCCTACCAACCCACTGATACAGCCTGACTCACCGATGCAGTTCCTGGGTCCGGCGCTGAAGGGAATGTACGCGTAGGGATGGCGTTTGTTGCAGTTCTCGGGCAGGAAGCGGTCCGGGTCGAAAACCTCCGGGTTCGGGAACTGCTCCGGGTCGCGGTGGATCCGATACATGTGGATTACGATGGACGTGCCGGCCGGGATGCGGAACTTGTCTGAGTCAAAGACGAAGATTTGAGCGGACGGCGAATGCAAAGAAAAACACAGCTTTTGGCCAGAAATAAAGTTCGCTGCAGTGAATTCTCGGAATTTAGGCTGATGTGTAACATGGTAATAATTATATCCTATTGAAAACGAATGTAAAGATAATAGTCCCACACCGTTTATAATATATCACTACACACGAGCAAATAAAAAGCGATACAAGTGCAACCCTAGAAGCACTCACCGATCTGAATCTCCTCCTTGATTTCCCTGAGGATCGCAGGGACGGAAGGGAAGACCCTGAGGGATTCCTTCAGGCACAGCTCAAGGTACTTCAGCTCCCGCAGGTCGGCCATGGTCGGCGGCCGATCCGAGCCTTGGAACACCTCGTCCAGCTCCTCCTGAACACGAGTCTGAAGCAAAAGGTGGGTAGATTTCAGTCTTGTGAGGGAAAGAGTTCATTGCTATGCATTTTGTTAAGGAAGAATTCATGATCGCTTTCGTCAGAAGCATTGTGATTAATCCCTTGTTTGACGTGAGCTTAAAGGAACATTTGGCTACGAGCTGAAAATCATTGCTGGATGTCACCTCATAAGAACGTATAAACTACAGAGAAAAATATATCCTTGAGCTTCAAAGACCTGTTTGGCGTGAGCTTTGAATATTTTTTTGATGCGAGCTCTAAATAGTATCTGAGCGTGAGTTTAGAAGAACAGTTGGACGTGTACTTGAAAGAATTGCTGGGTGAGAACTTAATCATATAATTGATAACACTGAAATCATGAAAATGCAACTAATGAAAGTTATGATAATCATAATGAAACCGATGAAGGTGTATGACTACTATCGTAGCCAATCAACAACACAACTAACGACAAAAGGAATAATAATAACACCAATAACCTTGACTCGAGTTACAGAAACAATGACGTCACTAACAACAACGGCAAGACCAACAACAAGAAAAGATGCAAAGCTAAAAGCAATAAAAAACTATAAGAAATACACCACTCTCATTATTAACAACAACCGCAACAACACAAAAATACCACCAGCGCAGGGCACTCGCCTGGATCTCCCTGTGCGTGCCCATGACGTACAGGAACCAGTTCATGGCGGCGGTGGTGGTGTCGTGGCCCGCGAACATGAATGTGTTCACTTCCTCCAAGATATCTTCGTTGGTGATCGTCGGGTCCTTCTCGGAGTATTCCAGGAGGAGGTCCAGGAAGGCCTGGCGGGTCTTCTGGCCTGCGGGAGGCACG